AATTTACGAACCGGTCGACGAAGGTGCTGCCGTTTCCTCTGCTGAGTTGCTGATGTCAACATTACCGTTAATTAGAATTTTCAAGTCGGCCACTCGAGTAAGTCGAACACTGTCCGGGGCGTTGAGAATGAGTTGGAGCTTGAAATTAACAACTAAAAACGTATCTTACAACAGGAAACTAAGAAACTGCACTTCCACTGAAAGCAGACTGCTTACATCTTCCATTGTTTTCTTTATTAATTAAACTACGCATCGGCACGACTTTCCGGGCAGCCAAATTCTCAACCGTTTTCATACGAGTATAAAGTCGGAATTCCAATGATGAACTTTCTCGTACGGAACTAAAGTTCAGTTCAGCGCCATCAACAAGCATTTAATAAATGAACGACCAAAAATGACCTCTATCAACAAAAATATTGAGCACAGTAAGATATATCTTTAAGTGGCAAATTATATCACATCGATAATATTCTCAACGAAAAATACGCATAAAGCGTTATTAAAATCACTTTATTTTCTTTTCTCTGCTAGATAGCAATCTCTTTCATCCTATTTTTTCCGCTAAACAACGCGCCATGTAATTCTTTTTTCTCCTTGAGATGCTACTTTCCTTCATGAACTGCTCTCCTAATTCCAAGATTCCACCTTTATACCTGTGCTATCGTTATACGGAACTACATCATATGTACAGATTGTGCATATGATAGTACATGTGCAGGCATTTAGATAGTGCCTCTATCAGCATCGAAAACAAAAACAGACTCAGTTATGGCCATTGTTTCATCTGAAACAGGAATCCTTCTAATAACACTGTATGCACTTCAACTGATTGCAACCCCATCGAACATGTCCGGGATATGCCTAACATGATTAGAGCGGTAGCTTCTTTCTCACCTCTCATTATATTGGTTTTCCTGGTAATTCATCGGCTATTTTCGGCTATGTGAATGCCTCTACATTGTTTCCTGTTTCTAGCACTAATCTTAGCGCAAAATTAACGGTGTCGTCGAACTCGCAGGCATAAAGCCAAAATGATTTTTGGAGGTGTCTGTCTCTTTTCTCAGCCTTCTGTCAGCACCATTTAATAAGGTTTCATGGCATGATAAAGGTGCTTTTCCATTATTTTCCATGGGTACACTGTCAATTTCATTCTTTATACTCGTATTATAATACTAATCCTACATGCTTGCTACACCTGATCGTATTTGATGAATTCAGTAAGTTAACAGAGTCGAACAACACCTTCTCTTTCCACGGGCATTTATGAAGTTTAAGTCTCAACCTAAAGCATTTTCGGTTGTCATTGTGCCTAAGATTCTACCACTTACCTGAGTAAGATTCCCTCCTCTTATTTCTGATTTAATCCCATTTTTCTGAGGTTTTTCTAAAATATCCGCCATTTGACAAGTGAGTTCCATCATTGCTTTCAATCAGCTAAAAAAAGCTAGGAATTCTGAAAGACAGCAAAGTAAATTTCCCCTTGTTGCAGCGACATTTTAACTTACTTAAGGCTTCTGCAAATAACTGCGAGATTTCTAACAGAATCCTGGAGCCATACTGAAAATTTAGAGCATGAACCATGACCATTCACAGGCTTTCCTGTTGCTCTAAGTTTCAAGCGGTCATCCATTTTCCTCATTTTTGCCTGGGATAGCTTTGATATTGGCCAGAAAATCCGCTTAGAATAGTGTCTTTGTTTTAAACACGGTAATAATCGCATATATTGTCTTGAAATGTCCGTCTGTATCACTGTTTGATTCACCTGCTCACATTACACAATGATGTATAGCTTTACGCAAACACATTGACAAAGATCTGTTAAATTTGCATTGCATTTGTTTTATGCGAGGGCGCAAGTTTTGCACTACATTGTCGTTATTAATATTGAGCCCCCGTACGCAAGAAAAAGAAAAATACTCATCGCAGAACGGTGAACCACCTGCTGTCAAAATTAGCCTGGATATCATGGTTTCCATGACGATTGTAATGATTAGTCGACTAAGATGGGTTGCATCATAATCTTTTGCAGTGAAATATTAAGTACAATGAAGTAGGCTTAATCTGGACTAGACGGAAGAAGGAGGAAGGTAACCACGTAATGAATAAAGCACTTCAAATATAAGTTATTTTCAACCGGTAATTATGAAAAATAAACATTTATAAGGTAAAACCTGTCATGGCTTTCAATGATTTTTTACTGTACCAATGCCACAACGTATAATATTTCGATTAATCAGTGTTAAACTTCTTCAGCTATAACAATCAAATGCACAGTAACTAACAGTATTGCAAACCAGGTCACGCTTATTTACTGTGTGAGATAGGAATAAAGAGAGTAGAAAATTTGTCAAAACTGACTGCCAAATTTTAACAGAACCGGATAAATCATTTTATACAGGCTGCTTTTTAACTTTATGATCCATTACATTGCTAGAATAACTTACAATTTTCATGTTAGTGCTATTCACCTTGCGTAGTTGCATGATAAAATACCAAACTAGTACAGAGTAAGATGGTTCTCCGCTGACAAAACTGCCATATGTTCATTGGCTGGGTTTTCACTTTATGTTTCATTACACTGATAAAAAAACTTACGACACCTATAAGTATAAATTACTGTGCGATTCACAGTTATACCTGGAGAATACCAAAACTGATCAATCGAAATACTGTATTTTGTAAAATAGGTGAAGTAAAGCGTCGCTGAAAACCATGGTGGACTTTACCTGACTATAAACGAGCAACAAAAAAATCTTTCAGAACAAGCAATAAACATTTACACCATGACTTTTTCATTCCATGTCGGATACGACGATTTCCTCTGAACCGCCGTGCGAATCGCAGGTCCGTTGTCTGGAACCACTTCGATGTATGAGTCTGGCTTTCCTAGCCGAATGCCTCCTATGAACCTGGCATAGAGAACTAAAAAGAATACATCAGTTCAGTATTGCGGTTACACCCCCCAATCGAAACTGCAGTACGTCAACATCTCACCTGTAATCTCTATCGTGTTTGTCATAGTTTCGATTGCTGTAGCGTGGAAGAGACTATAACAACGACAATGAATTTAGTAGAAACTGCAACTCTTAAACTGCAACAGACAATGGATCATGGTCTGTGAAAAACGCGATCCCCCATATACAACTGCATTTAATGTACTATCACGTGTCGCGTTCTCCAATGACACCAACGTGAATTTTGTGGAACAATTTATTGCGCCGTTGCACAAGTACGCATTTCCTTTTCCATATGCCGTTCCTGCTTCACCCAGTTCACATTAGTTACCGCAAATAGCGTACGTCACATTAGCTGCATTTTGCTGTCGTCCAAATCAGCACACCTGTTATCAATTTCAAGAGAAATAACTTTTGGCAATTTCAGATAAGCTCTAGAATTAGAGATCTATATAAGGTGGTTGAACGATTCATGATTCGGGGTACCATACACAGCAGATGGTAAAATATTTATTGCCAACGTGTTCGCTAAATAGGCCGCAGCCCTAGGTAGGTTTAGGCCTGAACCATGAACCATTCAACGACCTATCTGCATAACTACGGGTAGAATCAAAAACGTCATCTTATTTAAAACTAGAGGTCATTTCTCTTTCTATTACATATGACAATCGCAGTGTCGTGCGCTACAAAGTGGTCAAATATTACCATTGATAACGGGTAACAACTTCTTAGTCATGACCGAATCACGCAGGTCTAACCTACGCTAAAGGGTGCCGCATAAGCGTTAACTCAGCTTAAGCGTTAGTTACTGTTGGGAGAGATGCAATGGTTCATTTTCACAAAAACATTCTACAGATGCTTTCAGAAGTAGTATTGGACATTAATACGTCTGCGGACAGTCGACAGTTGCTAAAAGATAATATTCTTAAGGAAATGGCTCCACGGCCGAGTTTCACAGCATATGACATCGTATTCTAGCTCACGATGCCTGGGGTTACAGGAAGACCACATTCTAAATTACCTTTCAATGATGCACTACCAAATCTAGATTCCCTTTCTTCTGAAAACTTACTGAACACGGTTTCCAGTCTCTGCACCAATCTGACTTACAGCTAGTAGTTTGAATATATAGCATTTCACTTACCTTGGCGGCGTCATCTCCAAAAACGGTAAACTAGGATCAAAAACTAGGCAGCAGAGTTGCACTATCTTCGTTTACCTTTATGAGTTTCTCGGCAGTCTTGACTTGGAAAGGGAATAACATTCTCCACCAAGATTCAGCTTTACCGCGCTGCTGTCAGGCAGATTTGGCTGCATGGATAGCAAACGGCGTCGGTGTACAAGAGTACAACCCTGAATGAACAATTTCCAAAATCGTTGGTTAAGGCACATACTCGAAACCCGCTGAAGATCAGGAGGAACGACTGCATCCGGAGCAAAAATAACTTCGCGTTAGCGCTGATCTCAAAGAAGTCTCAGAAGGCTTACACAGTTCGATCATCTACATGGAAGCGATCAAATTTCACTGACTCATCAACTGCTGACGTGGCAGTCAAGTAATGGACGACAAATAATCTGTGGCCTCCTCATTACGTGACAAAAGAAACTAAACCGATATCTGCTTTTCATTAGGAATCATTCATTTCTAGAAACAGTGAACAGCTTCTGACATCAGTAGAAACAGATATAACGTCCAATACAAATAAGACTAAAGTAACACAACTCAACGTCACGATACATAGAATAGATCCACTTTTCTCATCTAAGCGCTTACACGGTGGAAGAACAGCAGCAACGTCAAAGTAGCTTACTAGAGATAACTAAATTACTACAAGTTTGATCAATTTCAGGTGGTTTACCGCCCTGGGATCCAAAATGGTCGTAGGCCTTTCTCCAGTTTCGACCGTGTTTAAGTACTCCATAAATCCGTTCTATAAACCATTATGCTGAACAATGCATATTAAATATCCCGCAACCTGAAAGAAACACAAGGCTTCCAAAGTGAATAAATGAACAAAAGCCTAAAAAAATTCGTTTCAGTATGCCGTATAAAACCAATACCTAGATTTTTAAACACCAGAAAACACCTATATACTTTAAAAGCAGTAAGCGGACAAATAAAAAATTTTCGATGAATTTATTAATATAAACGTCTCTAGGATAGAAGCGAATGTTTCGCAACGGCGAATATTTAATGAAACAATAGAAGTCTGAGCTAAATACAAAGCATATAATTAATCGCTCCGTTCGGATGAAACGAACAAAAATTCCATTACGGAAATTATGCATAATTTACCACTGATCAATTGCACAACAGTCCTTGTCAGTTAACGATCCGTAATACGGTGCGGCTTATAAAGACATAACCGTAGCTACAACTTTTCTAGCATGCTAAGATATCTAAAAATGGATATCTTCCCAAAGCGATATTCTGATAGACAGTATTCGACAACCCATCGATCCATCCTACGCAGTGCTAAACAGCGTCAACTAGTCGCAAAATCAAAATCTGCTTTCTCGCGGTACGGACACAATATAAACCACTAACACAAAATCACTGAATGCTCTAGCAATAAGCGAATCACCATCTAATTCGAAACTGCATTGAGTCGCTGCTATTATTTTTTTTGATTGGCGTTTGCACCAAAATTTTCCAACAACTTTTAACAACATGTAACAACTGCAGAGCATGAATCTCCTAATAAAACATGCTTCGCCTGTAATTAAAATCTCTACACAACTTTCTCGTTCAACCATCGAAAAATCTTTAACGAATTACATATCCAAGCACATGAATCCAATTCACAGCAGCTGTCAGTACTGTACGATACAAAAGATCAGATAGTCTGCTTTCTGCATTCCCTAAAATAAAGACTACGGTAACTACAGAAAGCGAATGCCAGACATTCAAAGAAAATTAAGTTTACAGCTGACAGAATAAGACAGTTCTTTAGACAGAGTTTCGTAGGTATCTAGGCACTGATTATAAATTTAGCTTTGTTAGTCTGCCGGGAAGAGATGGGGGGGGAGGTACTGCACTGCTGGCGTGGTTCTTGCGATTAGCACATGCAGTCGATTACACGCGCAGCGCGGTTCTCGTTTATGACGTCCACCGTAGCCAGAGCTTTTCAACATTTTTTCTATAAGGCATCGATTACAACTCCGCCGTTGCCGGTTCCAAAACCGGATGAGAAAGGAGGAGGGTTGGGGACCGTGGCAAGCCTCCATAAAATTTAAGAACCTGCAACTCATGGTATTGAAACCATCGAAAATTATACCTGCGCGGTCGTCGCCCTGGTTAACAAGCGCCCCGCAGGCTGCTGGTGGACTGACGCAGATTACGAAAAGTCGGCGATCAGCACCTGCTCGTTGCCCTCTGCCAGGCGGGAGCGTCGCAGCACAACGACAGTAGAAGAAGAGCGATGCAACGACGACGAAGATACAACTCAGCAACTGAGCCCCTATCCGTTCCGAACGGAGGACGCGTACAACGTGATGCCATTACAATACGTCAGAAAAGGCTTCACGAAAACGACACCACCAGTGGAAGCTAAAAGTTGAAAATTGGAACATATCCTCACTCAGAGGAAAAGGCCAAGAATAAGTTGATGAGGCCATAATATTCTAACTCGACATTGTTGGACTCTCGTTAACGAAACCCGCAGGCCCTGGACTCCTGCACCTCAACGGATGGAAGCCGTTCTACTCAGGCGTCGATATCACGACTCGAGGTCAGGCCGATGTTGCGGTTCTGATAGAAACCAACCGTTGAACTTTGCCGGTAGAATAATCGATTGGAAGCCTGCGAGAGGAAGGGTGGTAATCCTCCGACTGAAGCTACAACAGGCTAAATCGATGACCTTGGTACAGGTCTATGCG